CCAGAGATCATCGGTCAGCGCGACCAAAGCAGTTTCGGTGCCGTAACCAGGCCTGAAACCCGACTGAAAGGGATCCAGATAATCTGATCTGATATCTGATAATCTGGTATGATCACCTTTTGCAACCTTCTGACAAGCAAAGGGGGAAGCCGGATTCACTTAACAACCATGTTACTAACTTAATTGCAGTGATTTGCTTAACAAATATGGCAAGAAAAGTCATAAAATAGGGCAAAGCTCACTTAACAAATTTCTCACTTAACATATGTTTGGGGCTCAATTGTGGTTGTACGTTGAGGACTACCTGTATGCAGGACAAGGAGTCATAGTCTAGAGCCAGCAGGTTGTAGCAGGTCAGCAAAGGAGAGAGGTTAGACTCTTTTTGTTTCTGCAACATATGTGCTTTATGAAAAGTGAAATTAGAAGTAGGATAGAAAGAGTATTAATGTTTTTGAATTTGGATTTTGGCAAAAATCTCTGAGAATACCATGGATAACTAAGAATTGTTTGTATACAATAGCCGTGAGGGTTTTTTTGTTTAGTACATGTGTATTAAACAAAAAAAATGTTTAGAACACAATATTTATGTGTCCCTTTTCTAGATTGCATATTCTTAAACATTTGATTTCAACCATATAATTGGATTCTCTCTCTAAATAAAAGAATCATGCAAACAGGAATTTTAGTCATCCAGAAATGAATATTTTTTGTCTGGCTCCTTTTTCCTATCACTTTCCCTTACTTTCTCTAAACAATTTGAAGTTTCATCAAAATCAGATCCTGGAACTCAGCTAATTTAATGGAGGAATCTTTTTATTGCTAGAATATTCACTAGCTTTGAGAATAAAGATAAATTAATGAGCTTGCTTCCTATGCTAGAAGCTTCTGTTTGTAATCGTCTTAATATCTTTTCTGAGGTTGCAAATATTCATCATGGCCTTGATCGCTGTGCATCTTTGTTAAGGGACATTCTTCAGAATGAGTCCCCAGGTAACGATCTTTTTCATTACTTGAATATAAAGTTCATATCCTTGATAGCTTACCTTGTGCCTTAAATGGTTTTTTTTTTTTTCAAATGATGCTAGGAATGGCGGGCAGCTCTCAAAAAGCAGTGAAAACAACTACTTTCAGAGCAGCTTCCAGACCTTTGCTGAATAAAATGGGTGGTGCTAAAAAGAGAGGTATAAAGAAAAAAACTCTTTCAGCAAATGTGCAAAAAGAAACAGGTATATGCTTTTTCTTCAAATTTAATTTATTTTCCATGCATTTATCTCATTCATTCATTCATTCATCATTCTCCTTCAATTACATAATAGTTATAGGATGTAATTTTTGCCTCCCAAACCTGAATGTCTGGTTTTGTCTATAGATAACATACCATTGAAAATACTCCATAGGGATTTTTTTACAATTTGTTTCATGAATGTGTGCCTTCATCCACCAACTGAATATGCTTTGTATTTATAGGAAGAGGTTAAGTGACATTGTTAAGCTAGATGTGAATCACTATATAACAGTCATAAATCTTAGTTTATGTCTTACCAAAAATAATGGTGGTTTCTGCTTTATAAACATGTTACTTCAAGCTTTTTTAACTATAGCTACAAATCCAGAGCTGTAAAAATACAGAGCTTATAAAAACACTTGCAACAACAGGATTCTCGAACCCAAACGATTAGTTATGCATTTGGATAATATTAAAGGTATTAACAAGCTAAACATTTTCCATTCTGGATTTTTTGTTTTTGCAGCATCTGAGTTAAATAGAAAGGTAGTTTCAGGTAACGAAACTGTTGCTGAAAAAGATGAAACTCCTCTTACCACCAAACAAGCCTTTGTTGTTAAATCGATTCATGGACCTTGCACTCAGCATTCTCCTGTAATGCACCAGAAATTATGTGAGCATGCACAGTTCCAAATGCCTTTGTTAAATAGCCACACTCCAGTGAAATCCAGCGATATTCCTGATGTCCCACTTTCCACCATTCCTGAAGAGGGTAAGTAGGGAAGCAGTTTCGCTGTCGATATACACTGTGTTCATTTGTTCAAATTAACCTTAGTGTTGTTAACTGTTGGGCGATTGTCCTTTTAGCAGCATATCAACCTGCTACAGCATTCAACGACCATTTACCTACCTCCACACCAGCACGATCACCACAGCAGGCAGTTAATCCTTCTGTCGTTCACCCTGTAAGTAACCTCCTGCTGGAAGTAAATGGTCAAATTTGTATTTCCCTGTTTTATCCTAAACATGTTGCTAAGAGCAAAATGTTAAAATAGAACTGCTGTAAAGCAACGCACACTAGTCATGACTGAACTTGTGATTGAATTTGGGGTGGGTAAAGAAAAGGCACTTGAACTTCAGTTCCTTTGGGCTTTCATCCACAAGTTAAGCAGATACTGTATCTTTATCTTCAGATGAGAAGCAACAGGGATACATTTCATTTTAAATTCAACATGTCCTCTTAAGCAGAAATCCAGCTGTTCCTGTACCAAGTTGTTTTGAGGCTCTTTGTATTTATTCATTTGTTCCTGAATATTTCCTCTCCCCGCCCACCCCCAGTTTATCTAAATTCTGCAACTTCTCAAAGATGTGCAAATTGAATTTGTTGGTTACTTCTAAAATATCTCTTGCCTCTTCAGTTCTGATCATTACAATTAAAGGAAATGGGGGAGAGATAGTAAAACTGTTTTAAAGGCCCAAACACTTTCCTATTCCCATTGTCTCTATTCCATGTCATCTATTTTTGCCATGGAGAAAAAAATAAAGTCATTTTCTTAGTTGTACACAAAAGTAAAAGATAATATCGTGCTATTGTAGAAGAACCAGCATTTTTCAAAGTTCTCTTTAATTTGCACCAGTACTGGAATTCCTATCCATATTTGCCATTTCTACTGTTGAACATTACCAAGTTTAATTAGTTACTAAAGAAGACTGTCTTCTAGCATGCATTATTCTCTGGGTATTGGACCATTGCCATATTGTTTAATACCAACTTGTTTGCACATGCAATAGGTGCTTAAGGTGGGAGAACCTTACACCCCATTTTCCTGTTATCGTAGAGACAGCAGCCAGACTGGGTCTGCTCCATCCATTAACCAATCGGACTGATGGACACTTATGTCGTCCTCGGGCCCTTGTGGCTCCTCCCCAGTTTCAGACTCAGTCCAACCTGGACTGGCTGTGAGAATTGATCTCTCCTCCAAATTATTTAATTATATCTTTAATTGGTGAATTTTTCNTTCAGTCTACAGTTTTCCTTCATCTAAAACTGGGGAGGAGCCACAAGGGCCTGATGAAATCATAAGTGTAGACTCAGTCTGATTGGTTAATGGGCGGAGCATACCCAGTCTAGCTGCTGTCTCTCCTCTACCAGAAAATGAGCGTATCAGGTAAGGACCAACGTCCATTCTGGGTAAGGTTATCCTGGTAGCTTTGCTGCTATAGATGCATTTAAATGAAAGTGGTTATCTGGAGCCATTTCAATTTAGAGTTTCATCTTGGATACACTCCTGAGACAGCTTGAGCTAACTTAAGACTTATGCTGGAAATTAGAAGATGGGAGTATATAATTGTTATTCTTCCAGGTCGTTCCCAGATCTTTCATTGGTTTTCAGTATCACTGTTAATTGTATTTTTCTGGATCACCTGGAGGAGTTGGTTCTTGAGAGCAATTTTTCAAGATTTCACTTCTTCTATTCAGGGTGTGCCTGGAAGGTTGCTGACCTGTGTGTCTCAGAGGATTCTACCCTATCATCCAGTAATTTGATAGTTTACATGGAACAAATTGAAATTAATATTTACTGTTTATGGGCAATTGTTTACAGATTCAGAATTTAAAAAAATGTTTGTATCTGTATATTACAATTCTACATTTTTCCTTTTATTGTAAAGTCATTAATAAGGTGATTGACACATCAGATCTACAGCAAACTAGGCAGGTAAAATGCATGCTGTGATCCAACTATGAGAAATATTGGTCAGAATATTTCCTTAAATTAAGATTTAAATATTTGGCTGTGAGATATCTGGTGAGAGGAAAGAAATAGAATGAAGCTAACATTTGGCTGAACAAGGATAACTAGAAGGAAGCCAGAATGCTCCTTCTCCATATTCTTTGAATGATTTTTCCAAACTTTCCCTTCTAAGCAACCGTTTCTAAACTTGTTTTGCCTTGGCAAGAGATATAAGAAACATACCCCCACTTTATTTTTCCTTTGGCATTTCCGAATGAGCTGAAGAAGCAATTTAGGTTAGAGAAGGAGGCTGTTGTGCTTCAGGCAAAGAAAACATTCAAGACACAACGGGAAGAGGTTCCGTTCTTGGCTTTGCCTAAAACTTCCTGAGCAACCTCAAGAAACTCACATGTTCTCTATGCCTTGACTCCCAGCTGCATTGGGGGGGGATTAATATTGACTGGATGCGATGAAGCTTCCTTTGTCTATTTAGATAGTCATGCAATTCTTAATGACCTCAAGTAACATCGAGTTTCAGAACAGGATGATCAGGCCAGTGATTTAGGCTAACTCTTCTCCTCTCTCCTGATTGCCACCAACAATTGTCCTAAAGGAACTTCCTAGAATGATTTTTTTTTAATGATTTGTTGTGATTTTTGTGTTGCTCCTTAGCTGCTTTGATGGAGTTTGTATCCTAAACACTGAAAAACACATGAAAGCCACCGTATGTGGCTGGCCACACTGTTGTTCAAAAACCAAAGAAACCTCCAAACCATTTCTAATCCAAATATCAGTATATGGTATAGTGACACCTACTTTAGGACTTTCAATTCCTTTAAAATATTGAATATAGCACTTTACAAGNCACTTACGATGTCATCGGGCCCTTGTGGCTCCTCCCCAGTTTCAGACTCAGTCCAACCTGGACAGGCTGTGAGAATTGATCTCGCCTCCAAATTATTTAATTATATCTTTAATTGGTGAATTTTTCCAAAAAATTTTGTTGTTCCTTTAAATTGGTTCCTTAAATAATCCTTTATTCTACAAATTGGAGGGAAATTCAAAAACTGATCTCTGGCTGCCTCTCCTCAGCCGTCTGATTGCCTGCGGCCACGAGTTCACTCAGGAAGCCTGCCTTGCAATCAGATCGTCCAGCTCACAAGCTACGGCTCCATGGCTGTTTCCCCGTGGCGCTCCTGGTTTCTGGGCACTCGGAGGGATGCGCGACCGCCCATTTTGCGCGCAGCGGTTCCAGGCGAGTCCGGTGGCCATTCTGCAGATCGCCTGGCCACACTTAGTATCGGCAGCCATTTTGCGGGTCAGAAAAGCTCGTGAATATAGCAGTGGCCATTTTGAGGGTCAGAAAAGCCTCAGAGGAAAAAAGTCAGCCATTTTGGGCACTCTAAAAAAAGGCACGAACTCTACATGAGCCGTTTGGAGTGCCCAGCAATGCGGGATCACCCCAGGTGGACCGGATCAGGAGCGCCTGGCCAGCAAACGGGTGAGACCGTTGCCTATCTTACTGGGGTATTGATTTATGTTTGGGGAAATGACTGCTCCAGATATGGATACGAATGCAGGATTAGAGGAGGCAGGGCCATCAGGGGCAAAGATCTCCACCTGTCTTGCCTCCCATGGGCCCTGACCACCCCACCCCCATGGCCTATTCAGAAGGGGAATTGTCTTCTTCGGAGTCCTTGTCTTCGATGGAACCTGACAACAGAGGCAATTTCTTTGATGTCCCTCTCAATAAGGAGCGCACCTTTGAACAGGCTTCCCTCCTGGTTACACATGGTTCTGGGGGGCCCCACACCATGTACACCTCTCCTGCTGATATGGCAACCATCATTGCTGAAATCATTAAACAGGTCATGGCTGCTAGCCTACAACAGCAACCTCAACCTCCTCCATCACATGGCCATAAGCATAAATCTTCTTCTGCAGCTCAGCAACCTGATCCCTCTGCCTCTACTTCTCAGGCCTCACTTGGCAGGGAGAAAGATAACCTGTGGGACTCAGACCTGTCTGATGACAAGGTGGTCACCCCAGATACCCCTGCCTTTACCGGATTATTCAAAACTGGTTGATTCAAGTCCCTTCTACTTAAGGCCATTAAAGCTGCTAACTTACCATCTTCTGCTTCAGCTTCTACTTCACAGGATAAACTGGCAGAACCGGCTTCAACTGAGGGTCCCAGTACCCCATTCATCTAACCCACGGTGGGAAAAGAGGTGATCCCTGTTCCCAAGATATTCCTGAACATCATCCAGAAGCAGTGGGAGTCTCCAGGCATGGGCCCACAGCCGACCAATCTTGACAAATGTCTCTACAACATTTCACCAGACCTCACCAAGTTCTTCGAGACTCCCCCAGTGGACGCACCAATTTCTGATTTGGCTGCTCTTTCAGTTCAGGCATGACTTGTGCGTGTTCCATCCAGACCGAGTTGTCTTAAGACTGGACCCGACATTCATACCAAAGGTCAATAGCTGTTTCCACCGAGGTCAGGAGTTGACCTTACCTGATTTTTTTCCGTCTCCCCGGCACGAGAGGAAGCGCAAGTGGCACACTCTTGACGTACATCGTGCCTTCAAGATCTACATCGACCGCACGGCCTCGTTCCGCCACTCGGAAGTTCTCTTCATCTCCTTTCGCCAGGCCTCCTTGGGTACCAAGGCTTCATCGTCTAGTCTGGGGCGCTGGATAAGAGCCTGAATTAAACTGTCTTACGAACTTCAATCCATACAGATCCCTGCAAACATTACAGCTCACTCTACACGCAGCACTGCGACATCTGCGGCTTGGTCCACTCAAGCCACCTTGGAAGAGGTCTGCCAGGCGACCACCTGGGCATCTCCCACGGTCTTCATACATCATTACAAGATGGACAAGTATGTGTTGGGTGACGCGGCCTTTGGGCGCAGGGTGCTGCAACAAGTGCTTGTGCCCTAACGGATCTTTTTTACAATTTCCCACCCTAGTGGACAGCCCAGTCTTTGGTACGTTCCAGTCTGGCTGCTGTCTCTACGATAACAGGAAAATGGGCATTGGTCCTTACCTGATTCGCTCCTTTTCTGGTAGAGACAGCAGCCAGCCCCGCCCTGGTATGGGTCACGCGAGGGGATTCCTTGTGTGGAGGAGAGAGAGAGAGAGAGAGAGAGAGAGAGAGAGAGAGACAGTGACTATGGACTTTCACTTTTTGCTCACAATTCTCACTTCAGTCTACAGTTTTCCTTCATCTAAAACTGGGGAGGAGCCACAAGGGCCTGATGAAATCATAAGTGTAGACTCAGTCTGATTGGTTAATGGGCGGAGCATA